ACAGCGCGCCCGTTTCCATCCCGAGGTCTTTGGCTATATTTCCAATAACGGATCCTCGTTTCATTTCCTCTGGGAAAGAATAGCTCATGTCTCCATGAGCGACATGCAGCTGAAGGAGGAAACAAATGTTCCAAGCCTGAAACACGATAAAATTCAATTCCATCTTCAATGATACGCCTCTAATATGTTAAAGCAATAACGCAGCAAAGATAGCGCACAACTATGACAGAAATAGGAACTGCAATTCAGCGCGTCTCGGGCTAAACCTAGAGCAGGCAGCGGGCGTGCAAGACAGAAAGTCCACAAAGAAAAGAGGATTTCAGTCTTTTAGGGCTGGTGTATAGCGACACCGTGAGTTCAAAAATGACACTGACCCAGGCTTATCCAAGTTAAATGCCTAAATGCACTCAATAGATGCTGCAAGATCGGAGTGTTTTATTTTAATACTGTGGAGGTATGTAATAACGACAGAAGACGTTTAGTGACTATATTATTACGTAATGGCATATGGCATAAATCTATGTCTGTAGGGCCTAGAAATACTGATATCACTATATGTTTACGACTGAACAACAAACTGTGGGTTCCCCCTCTTTGTAGCCTTTCGGAAATCAGCCTAATTGTGTATTAACAAAAAATTAATGTTGCTGGTTCCAACGTAATGACACGCATTGAGTTTACCTATTTAAATTATGACCAAGGTTAACGTTGTTAATGTCCCATAGGACACAAAGCACAGAAAAAATAAAATAAAATTGGAAATTACATGAAAAATCAAGACAGAAAGATTAAAAAACCCATATTATCCAAGTTCAGTATACTAACATCAAACTGAATTTTTATGACTGCTTAAAAAAACCTTTTAAAAAAAAAAAAAGTACATTGAAAAGGAAACTGGCTGATGCACCTGTTTCTTTTCTTCTCAGACAAAAGAAAATTAATGCTTTTTTGTTTGTTTGTTTTAAATAACTGAATCAAGACTGAGGATACAGTCTGAAATTTAGTATCCTTTCATACTAAACTAGTTTTGTGTTAGCAACTAAGCAATTATTCAGTAAATTTTTCTGTTGGAAGTCAGATTTCTTTCAGTTGTATCCCAGCTACTATTGCATGCATTAAGGTGAAATTTATGTGGATTTTGCTGAGTCATCTGGACTTTTTAAAATAAACTAACAAATTCCCTGAAGCCTTTGCTAATCTCATAAATGTGATGTTACCTCAAATTTACATTAGGCCAGAACTTACTTATTAGTACTGCGATTTTGAGGTAATATCAGAACTGAGTAAAAGTGTCACAAGTCAGACTGAAATTCTAAAACAAAGTGGGGATTTAACTGCACTGAATTGTTGCTAGGCTGAATGTTTTTCTAGAACAGTTAATTACACTCAAAACCACTTTGAACTAGATGTTAACAAGTTGCATATGAAGCCTGATCACTAAACTGACCGTATCATCAGAAGCTTATTACACTCAGCTGAGAGACAGAAAAGAAACTTCATCAGATGCAGAATTGCTAAGTAAAACACAAGCATACAGTCAGAGAGAGAGAGAGAGAGAGAGCAAGTGCAAGACAAGGATACACAGTTTGGGTCTGTTTCAAACATAAATATATTTTGTATTGGGCAACTGGCAAAAGTCCTTTTTTTAAGTTAATTTAAGTGTGATATTTCTTTCAGGAAAAGAAGAGTGTGTAAGTATCACAATAGGAGAGAAAATGATAATGCAATATATCATATTTACAGTACAATATGAGTGAGAATAATATAAACTCTGTGGGAGTGCCTACTCTGGGGTAGGACACCTGTGATGAACCAACTTCACGCTGACAAAGGAGAAATATTAAGCCACTCTCAAGAGAAATGTTAATAACTATTTTTGTCAACACCAAAGCTTTGAAAGACCACTAAAAGACCAACTTTTCCTAACAAAAAAGAAGGTGTGTGCATCCATCTTTTGGACCATGCTGTATATAACAATGTGCTACACAAACAAAAACAAAACAAAACATAATTCTCAGGATTATGGTTCTATAAAATAAGTAAATAGAATGATTATTAACTGTGTCATCTATGGGAAATAATATACTTTTGTAAACATGGCCAATGATAATATTTTCTATTCAAAAATGATCAAGGACTATTGAGGAAAATGTATTAACAATTTTAGCAGTATAGTAAGGCTGATTACTTACACTGAGTTACATTGTAGGGTGTTACTAAGCCTATTAATCACTAGTTTATATTGTTATTAGAGAAGCCTTTCTTTCTGTCAAGTCTTCAGACCTGTTGCATTTGTTTTCCATCATCTATATGAGAAAAAAAACTTATATAGAACTTAATGTTTCAACCACATAACCTTAAAGTCTTTAAATAGATAAAAAAATAATACGTGTGGAAGTCGAAACACATTTGATCAGTAAAAAACTGCTGGACTACCGGGAAAATGAATACCAAGAAAAAAGTCAAGCCTATAGATATGATGCAATAAGATGAAACTTTCTCTCAAGGTAGGTTTTGTGGGAGGAAGGAGTTGGACCAAAAATGCTAAAAACCAGCTTTATGGCTGTGCTTCAACCAAAACACCAAAATAAAGCAAAACATGAAAATGTTAACCGAAAATGTTACTCTTCTAGAAAATTTTACCACAGGGAAAGACACATCAGTGAGGGAGAATGCAACAAAGAAAGACAGAGACAATATGAAATACACAGACTAAATAACAATGAAGGTAGAACCAAAATAAAAGGATTGTAATTTTTTGTACATTAACACCGTTATTGTTAGGAAAGAAAGTTGGCTTATTTAAATATCTATCAACAAAACTTTAATGCAAGTGAGAGAAAAAAAATAATGAAAATGGGGCAAAGGGCATCCTCCTACCTCAGGAGTCCTATCACTATCTCCAAAGACATCAGCAAAGTCTGATGGGCTTTTCTTCAGAGTCTGGTCAGCAGGCAGCGTGTTGTCATTGTATGATGTCACAAACTTAAAGTCACTGGTTCTTGAACCTGTGGTCAGGTACGC